GCCTTGAACTGCGAGATCAAGCTGCTGCAAAAAATGCTCCTGCAGTTCCTCAAGTCAATATTAATCTTCCTCCGGAATTCGCAAATTTGCTCCGCCCAGTCGTTCCTCCTGCTGCTCCCGCTCCCGCTGCCCCTAATGCCTTTATCCCGCCACCAAACACTGCAAACATGCTTATTCCGTACCCACATATTCCTGGTGCCGACCTCCTTATTCAGGATTTTTGTTCTTTATATGACCTCGACAACGATATCTGCGAGAAGTTCCAGATACCCAAGTATAAGCGAACTAATGCATTCAAATTCGTCGAGGTTGACGAGCTGAAGGAGATGGGCTTTATGAAGGGAGAAATTGCGGAACTCAAGGTCGCAGTCGGGAAGTGGTCGCAGTTGCCTCGTGTAGGTAATCGCTCGTGTAAATTGTTTCAATGGTTTATAGCTAATTAGAAGTACTCTGTGTGTTCAATTGAGGAATCTTAAATCAAATTATTAGAAGTATCCTGCATGAATAAAATAACCGATCGCGTCAGACTCTGTGATAATCTCCATAGCCTCCAGCATGTCATAAATGAGTGCGTGGGGTTCGTCGTCTGGCCCATAGGTAAATATATCATTATTGCGGCGGATCCAGGCTTTGAGTTTTGAGAACGCCTCTTCGATAGGATTGAAATCGGGTGAGTAAGGCGGGAGATACACAAGGCGCACACCTAGTTTCTGTGAATATTTACAGGAAGTTAAACTTACCAAAACGATTGCACAACTCCTGGATCTCTTCGCCGTGGTGGATTCTCGCATTGTCCATGACGAGGACACTGTGCGGGCCAGGGTATGGCGAGCAAAGAGGAAGCTAGAGGACATTGTTAGCAAACGGACATGAAAAGACAACATAAAAACTCACAACTTGGTGCTCCAGGAAACTAAGGTACTGGTCCCGATGTATAGACCCTTCCACAACGGCACTAGTCAGCATTCCACGTGAAGTGAGGAGGCCAGTAGCAGTCGGACGGCGTCCGCGAACAGCCTTCCGACGCTTGACAGCGCGTTTACTCTTCTTTGCACGTTTAAGACATCGGCCAGGTGTTTTGACATTTTTGGAGGTTTCGTCTAGGAAGCCTAGGAAATGTGCTGGGTATTGTGAGATTTTACGAACATAGTCAAGTCGAGTGGGCCCGCAGCGTTCTTCAGCAATTTCGGCGAGTTTTTTTGTGGACATCCCTGCACGCTCGAGCTCCCGATGAATAGTGGTGTAGTGGACAGATATGAAGCGATTGTGTTGAAGGAGCTTAAGGAGTTCGTCGAGAAACCAGTCTGGACGCTCCCGAATGAGGAGAATGAGATAGTCAACGTCGTCATGATGTAGGAGGCGAGGACGACCAGGACGATTGCTCTTGCGCTCAACGTCACAGATTGTGCGCCAGAGATTTACCATGCGAAAGAAGGTCCTGCGGGAGAAGCCGACACAGGATAGGATGGTCTTGAGCGGGAGATGGCCTTGCTCATAGAGGTTGAGCGCCGCGATTTTTAAAGCTCGGCTGATGCTGCGATTCCCCATTTATGCACGAATAGTTACAGGCTGTGGCAATCCAGTGCGGTCAGCGTGAATCTGGAGCGGGATGGTATTATAACGCACTTGGAATGATGGAAATTGAGCCAGAAATGAGCGAAAACGAGCGAAAAAGGTGTGCAAGTGAAGTCGTCCGAGGCAGAATTTGGATTTATTGAGCTGATGAATTGAGCGACGAGAGTAGTAGCGTTAGAGAGCGACTGATAATCCAGTTCAAACGGGCCTATTCCGAGGGAAATCTGTCCCGAATTGCGCCCAGGATGCGTGCTACAAGATTAGAGGCTAGCGGAGCTGTCGCCGAAGGTGGCCAAAAATAAGCGCTGCAATTGGAAGAAAAGACAATGTGAGATGGATAACGCTGTCAAACGCACCTAGTTTCAAGACATTCGGATACGAATTGGGCTTGCAATGGACACGTCAAGAGCCGAAGTATGGATGTTGTTTCTTATTTATAAAATGATCGGAGGTGCCATTACTTCCGCAAAGAGCTGTAATCTGAACACCCTTCTGATTACAGCTCTATTCATAGCTATGCAGAAAACGTGAAATTTTTTCCGGTTGTTTGCACCTGTTTACTAGCCCCTAACGGAGTCTGATCTCGCATTTCCTGGTACTTTCACTGAGCTCCCGCCCTTCATTTCGAGTAAATTATGTGTGGATGACTACTGTATAGCATTGCATCAACTCTGCAGTACCTATGGAACACAGGAACAGATTTGAGGGCCAAAATCTCTAACATGGAGGAAAGTGGGGTCTTAAACGGGCACGCTCCGAAGTCAACTCACTTATATATCCTCCAGACCATCACATATGCACCCTAGTACATCTGAGTCTCGTTTCCCCCCTCCCAAGTGGACAGTGACTGCTTGCTTCCGGTGTTTGGAGACCTCGCACAGTTGTGGTGAATGTGGTGGATGTAATGTAATGCCCGTATTCATCCATGAACATGTCTAGGGTTATTGTTAGAGTTGTGGAATTGTATCACGGAGTTTCCGATGGGAAATGAGACCCTCTCGAGAGCTCGGATGATCGCAAGTAGGACCGATATGCGTGATTGTGCAGTTTTCTGGCTTTTACGGTGTATATTGGGTCACGATAGGTTCCATTCCCTCGGATGTGCGTCCGGGATGTATAGAGGCTAGTATTATGGAGTTCTCGGCCAGATTCAGGCGGTAGTGGGCCGAGGAGAGTGAGAGAACACTTCAAACAAAGATTTAGGCGCCGGGACAAACTTAAACAAACAACCGGAAAAAATTTCACGTTTTTCGCATAGCTATGAATAGAGCTGTAAGGTAACAGGGGGTTCAGGCTCGAGCCATTGGAGCCGGCTCCGACTGGCTGGGCTCCGGAGCCAGCCGTAGCCGAGCCGTGCACTACGGCGAAATCAAATGAATTGCCTTTTTAGGAAAATACGATCAATTTGACGATGCAACATTCCTCGCGAACTTTACAGCCAGCGGAAATAGTATGGGTATGCTAAATGAAGATGAATTGAGAATCTGGGACAGTTTTTCTGGTCCAAAACAAGTTATTTCCCTTCATTGAGTGAAGATGACAAGGGAATGCTTGTCAGAAATTAATGATATACTCCTGGGATAATACCGACTGTGCAATGTCTGAGGAAACTGTAGGGTACTAATCAGCTGTCCGGTATGCTTCTCTTGGCTGTAGAGCTCGCAAGCACCTGTTCATGGTGGAAAAGAGCGAAAATTGATCGTATTTTCTTAAAAAGGCAATTCATTTGATTTCGCCGCAACTGTAGCATGTTCCACCTCCAGCTGAACATGTAGGAATATGCAGATAGGCGAGAAATCAGAAAATATCAAATTTCTCGCGGAAAGAGGATATCACGGCCCATTTTGGGTGGATTTTGATCGTTTTCCGCTAGGACACCTGCCCCGGGCTCAAATCTTGGCCGTTTACTTACCTCGATAATTGAACCATTCGATTCGAATTAAAAATTCGCAGCGAATGGTCCCCTCAGAATTTCCGCTCAAGAGATAGTGTGGTTTCATAGCACCCACACAGCATTACATGTATCTGCCTCCCCATTCCCTATCTATTTGCACCTTCGACAGGTACACACAAACCGGACGTCTTCTGAATCCGGCCGGGTCATCCTCTCCAGATATCCATCCACCGGGTTTGAGGTCAAAAACACGATGCACTGAAGGCGCATGTTCGGACCATGGCGTGCAACGTAGTGGAGTTCGACGCAGTATTGAATGCAACGTGCGTCAGATGCGGTACGAGTACGAGGGCAAGACCCACACCTGGTCATGTAGTCGCCACCCGCGATTTAGCCGCGTCCTACATCGCCCCTTGGTCCAGATTGGAAGAGAGTAGGTGGCAAAGATTTTACGTCCATCAATGTAACTGAGTGATTCTCTAGTAAAGTTTCCAGTGCTGGTCTTGGGATATAATGGTAATTTCAAACATATTGCCGTCCGGTTACCCAATAAGGTGTGACTTATCACAATATGCTTGTTGCCTTTCCTTACACTTCGTACAGACAACAGCACAAGTAGGGTCGATCGAATGATCGGTCGCGCCGCTATTATATAATCACAAAATCTTCGGACGGCGATATACTGTATTGCGACGCATCTTTTGTGAATTTGAGGCTTTGGAACCCTTTATTGAGTCAAAATGTCCAACCTGCCCAGCGAAAGTGTGGTGACAGAGGTCCAGAAGCACGATGCCGAATTTTGATCCCCCGGCACACGGAAAAGTCCGAAAAAGTGTTTTGGGTGAAAATGGGTGCGGGGTCGCGGTTTTGAAGACACAGTTCGATTGTAAATGAGTATCCAAGACATCTTCTCTGCCAATATTTGTGGAAGGAGCAGCTTGAACAGCTGAGTATTGAGGGAAGAATTTGAAACTCCGACGATTACATAATGACGGCGCGACCTATACATGATCGCGCGGTTAACTACAGACTACTCGTCAATGGACTGGTGGCAGAACTTCGGCCATTTACCAGTTCCACCGCGGCTGCCTATCATGTCGCCTGCTCCAACCTCACCACCGGTGCCACCGAGTCCAACCGTGAATACAGTTTTATACCAGTCAGTGACAAAAACCGGTCAATGACACACTTTATATCTCGGACCACAACCGACCTCTCGGCATGGAAATCATCCTATACAGTAAACTAGATATAGCTGACATGTGCTGAACGTTAATTGGGGCAAGACAATGTCCTGGAAGTCCGGGCGAAAGGGCGAGCGATTGTTTAGGTCTATGGCTCAATGACACAACATTTTTTATTCCCTTCAAGCACAAGGGTCTTCTACAAAAATCCTCTCAGAGACATATTCATGATTATTGGTTGGCTCAGACCCTCCGTAAGTGTCCAGTGAAGAGTACAAAATCGTGATTTCATTTGTTTGTGTCACTGACCGGTTTAAAACTGTACAGGTCAAATCAAATCAAAGAGGAAAAAGGGCTGGGAATTGAACCCAGGACCTCCTCGAGCAACGTTGGAAGCCCTAACAAGGAATCATACCACTAGACCATCAGGCCTTTTCCCGCCGCCTTCGGGGTTCCAGCATGGTACGCAGGCAGACTGGGATGCAACCGAGGAGAACCGTCGCTCGCGAAGATGGTGCGCATCGCGTATCTTGCTCGATGTTGGCAATTGGGCATGTCGGGAACGCGTCGGGCGCGCGTCGTGAGGCTCAGTGGTGGAGGTAAGAGGAAAAGAGGGAGAATTTTCAAGGGGGCACCGGAGTTGAAATTTTTGACGGAGGGCCGATTTGACCTCTAATTTGGCCTGAAAATCCGAATCTGAACATCAAAAGTTCAGAAGTTTGGTCATTCGCGAGATATGGGGCAACTTGTCCCTTTTTTTTTTTTTTTTTTTTTGGTCAATTTCTTTTTGGATAGATAGAGTAATTCTGCACAGCTTTCGAAAAAAAACTTCGCGTTCCCATAATAGGAGAGGTACATGTATATTATCTTCTCTCGCTTGCGAAAGAAAGGGTTCACCAAATATTCTCGGATGTGAAAGCTCTACAGAAAAGGCAATGATGCCTCCGAGCGGAATTTTAAGCGATGTAATTGTTCAGAATAACCCGGGCTATCCATTACCCCGGCTCACCCCACTGTCAAAGTCACGCGTTTGAAAATGACGGGAGCTTCAGGCGCGGGGTTTACCCCGCCATCAAGGAAACACGTTTCGAAATGTTGTCCATTGAAAGCCCTGTACAAAAGGCCACAATGCCTCCGAGCGGAACTTTAAGTGATGGAATTGTTCAGAATGAATAGGGCTATCCATTTCCAACAGAAGCGGCCCAGAAGATGGCTCTGGGACCACGCAGGAATTGAAATCAATCCGTAGGGCGACGAATTCAGCCTCGGGCCTAGCTCACACCGCTGTCAAAGTCACGCGTCTCAAAATGTCTTCCATTGAAAACCCCACTTTCTTCTAGACTCGTAACCAGTCTGCCTACGCCATTCTAACAAGGCGAGCTTGTTGCCGTAGGCAGACTGGTACTTCTCGGATATGTCAATTGGGCTGTCACGGAGTTTGAAATTAAGTTGTTCATTGAGTGAGACCGATGACGCAATGAGCCGCGGCAATTCCGGAGATCACGGTCCGAAGTTGATTTCCACTAAAACTATCCTCAGGTTTCTGTACCATAAAGAGTAAATATAAGGAGGCCAAATGAAAGGGATAATTCTTTTATTTATTACCCCAGCTTCAACTGAAAAATAAGCTTAAAAAACGAGTGCAAAGGGAATAAGATTGTGAAAAGGTCACTTAAATTTCAAACTCCGCCCCAGCTCGATTGACATATCCGAGAAGTACCAGTCTGCCTACGGCAACAAGCCCGCCTTGTTAGAACAGTGTAGGCAGACTGGTTACAAGTCTAACTTTCTTCACTTCGCTTCGATGTCTGCGTTTGTAGTGCGCATTCCGCATTTGGAGCAGCATCGGTAGAGTTTATGGCGGGTTCCTGAAATATCATAATCAACAGAAACGGCGGCGATTATTACCGTTAATCACCGCGGGTGCTTTAGCTCCGGATAATTACAGTGGTGGCCAAAAAGAATGTCCGCGGTCATTTGGGCTCATTTCTGGGTCAAATCACTTCAGATAAAATGCTAGTATGAACCTTTGTCGTACTCATGGTAATGTATACGGTTTCAACTATACTATCCCTCCTTCGTCCTGTCGGAATAAATGATTTGGGTTTTCTGAAAGATCGAGTCTCTGGAATCACCTCACATGCCAAAGTGGTGTATACAGTCTGGAAGTACTTGAAAAATCGGCCTCAGACGCATGTTGGTTGATCTGGATCCATAGGATCTCGGGCTCACGATAGTCCGTTCAAGTTGACAATTTTCAGTATTTTAGGGCCATTTGCGTCAAAAACGCTCAAAATAGCCAACTTGCATCAGACATTGCGGGCCCAAAACCCCTTCAATTCAGATGACCAAATCATGAATAAGGCTCCTTTTTCAAGTACTTTCGGACTATATACACCGTTTTTGCGTACAAGATGATTTTCAAAACTCGATTCTTCAGAAAACGGACAAATATTTCATTGCGAGAGAACGAGGTGACCGATTGGATGGAATGCTGCAGAAATCGTTCCGGTGGTATGTAGGCTTTCATTTGGCGCTAGGAGAATCCTCGGGAAGTGGAACCTATGGCCCGAGTTTATTTGAAGGAGAAGTGATGGAAGGAGTTTCTGTGCGGAAGCGGCGAGTTCCGCCGAATGGGAGCCGACGGTGAGGTCCACTGAGCTGAAAGTCTGAAAGTCCATCATCATCGTAGTTCCCGGACTTTTATGAAGAGGAAGAAAACCGTTAAAGAGGGTGATATCAAGAAGTTGAACTTGAGCGTGGCACACTTGCTGAGATTCAGCATCCGAATAAATAGGCTCACTTTAGAGCAGGTCTCGGCAAGTCAATCCGAGCCAAATCTGAGTGCGGAGTTGGCGGAGTTTGAAAGGCTTCGGACGGACAGAGAAACGTAATTTTATAAAGAGAGTGATTATTGTTAAGGTTTCTCGAATCCCCAATGGACCTCTCAAAAATATTGCAGAAAATGTTCCCCAAATGTCACCCAGAAGAAGCCTTGTGGGATTCGACTACTTTTTGTTTTACCAACGTTGGCGGCAACATTCGGTAACATCTGGGCTAAAATTCACAACAAAACATCCTCCAAATCCAAACGGCGGTATAGTGGTATAGAGTGTCCGCCACATTTGCATTATCTCGCGACTTTCTGGCATGTATTCTATTTATTTCCATTGCGGGCGTGTAATTCCCACGGACAATCAGAGCCAAATGGAAGCATTTCCCTCCATGAGTTCGAGGCGCACTCACACCGGAAAATGAGAAATTTCACCGTGGCTGACAACGTCCCCTATACCATTAGTTTCGAAAATCTTGCTGAGAGCGCACCTGAAATCGTAAGATTCAGTGGGTCTGAAAATGATGCCGAGACCAGCAGATCAGGTTGCGTTTTCGGTGTTGCTTAAAGTGATGGTTCCGGCTACAGTCTCCGCCTCGCTGAAAGTGTGGTTGAAAATAAGAACCTCAACAGCAGTTTCAACGACTGCTGTTTCATTCCTTTCAGATAGGCCCAGACTGCTGCTGAAAGCAATAGTTTCAGCTACTGTTCGGACGCTCCCGAAATCCCATCCGAATCTTACAGTTTGAGACCGGTAAGTCACACCATTCCAGGGGGTCGATCACACAAGACACTCGCAGACAGCGGACTGGCCGGCCTTGACTGGGCAGGACCTCCGGTTAAACCCTGTGGGACTTGGTCAGAGTTCTCTCCTTCCAGGTATAAATCCCTGGAGTCCACCAGTCACTGAAAGTTGCTGTATGTCTGTCCATTTGCAGAATGCATGCAGGAGCCAACAACCCAAACATTTTGCCCTGAGGCGGGCAAACCAGTTGCCAAATAAGTTTTGAGGAGAGGATTCAAGGATCCTCCACCAGGATAGGGGCGTCAGCTTCCTAGGCGGAGCATCGGTGTTGTATCGTAGATTTTCAAAACGTTGAATGCTAATTTTGCCAGGACCGGTGTTATTTCCCTGCACGCAAGAATAGCTCGGAAGAAGATTAGCACATCCGTGAAATGGGCTTTGAACTTGGGGGCTTTCTTTGTCGGAATTTTCATAGCCCACTCTGGGCACTTATACGGACCCAATCAAGGTTCTCATCAACCACCAAGAGCAGGGGCTCGGGAAAAGGCAATTGGACGAGGCATTTGGTATTACGCGAGGTTCAAAAACGTGACATCGTATGGAGATCTATTTTTTTCAGGTCTGAATCCAGGGTGATAGCTAGTGCAATTCTGAGCAGAACTGTCGCTTCGGTTTTGCTCGCTCCTGCCGTTCTGGTTGTTAAGCTAAAGGCTCAGAAGTTCTTCATTCTGCAGGGAGGCTGTGCCCAACAGGACCCCGCGACCGTATCCGCGGCCCCAAAACGTGACATGGTATGGAGATCTATTTTCTCGTGTCTGAATCCGGGGTGATAGCCAGCGCGATTCTGATCAGCACTGTTGCTGCGGTTTTACTCCCGCTGCTCTGGTTGTTAAGCCAAGGCTCGGAAGCTCTTCATTCTGCAGGGAGGCTGTGCCCAACAAGACCGTATCCTATGGCAACAGGCTCTGGACAGCTTTTGGTTTTGCGCGCCGGCCGTGCGGCAGGGGTGATTGGCGGGTGCTCTGACCCATTTGGGGTGCTGGGACCCTAGAAACACATCAGTGAGGTTACTGTCGGGTATTCTATGGGCAAAAATTGGGGCCATCCAACGCGTCTTCTGCGCCAGAAGGCTGAGCACGCGAAAAGAGCGTGATTACGTAACGTGCACAGCCACCGCCCGTTTCGGAAAGTGGTTGCATTTTTGTTCAACTGCGCGTTCCCCACCAAACTCCCACAGGAGTTGCAGATACTTACCTCCAAATTACTATAGCATTTCGACCGTAGTATCAGTCACAGGTCACAATGGCCAGTGAATTGAAGCCATTTGATTTCAGTCACACAGGTCACCAGAGGGTCTGAATGATGGGATATTTTTGTGTCTCACCACCCAAAAAATATTTTCCTCAGTGCCCATTCTATGTAGGGTCGAGCTTTGGCCTTGAACCCATCCAGCACTCTGAATTCAGCTCAGAACACCATATTTGAGCGCCTGGTTCAGTAGATTGTGATTTTGGGTGGTTGAATTCGGCCCATGTTGAATGATAATATCGGTCACAGGTCCCTGAATGATGGGAAAGTTGAATCTGATGGGTCACAGGTCACTGACCCGGTGAATTTACGGTTGAAATGGTACAGTACAACCACTCAAGTCTGCTGTTGAAAAACATTGATCAAGATGCAAGGCAGCACAGTGAAGCCTCAGGAGTCACAGCATGGACTTGAAGTCTCTCTTTGGATATGTCTCCGTAATTCAAAGGCCAGGAAATTATGAGCAGGGCTTGTGTGGGATGATAGTTCTGGGCTACTGGAACTAGACGTGGAGGTGTGCTCAGTGCTGCACGAGGAACATGATGT